CACGAAACATCTGGAGCTGCTGTTTTAAACCACTGGCGACGCGCCGCTTCGATTTGTCAAATCAACGGAAAGTGGTTGATGCTCTTTCGTCACGAACCTCCTCTTACACTCCTTTTTCACCTCCTCTCATACTTCTTTTTCACTCAGACTCGTACTAGTCTTCAAACACAGTTCCTACAAAAAGGTCTTTTTTCTGTGATAAAAAAACCTTTCAAAATTGCTCGCTCAAATACAGTGTTATATTTTATTTTGAATTTATTTTATTTTTATTCTAAACAAACAAGCAAGCAAACGAAAAGTTTGGATTACAAACCACTAACAGGAATTAAGGGCAAACTCAAGGGATGTATCTAAAGTGTTGCTTCTCTAAAATTATGATATCCATCCCTTCTTGATATGCTAGAGATACAAGCAGAAGCGAGCTGACATAACCGATGAAGAATCTGTTTTAGGAGGCAAGACTCCGAATGGAAAACAAGAAGCCAAGCTCCTACGCACAAAGTAGAGAGCATTTATAAGAACTACTGTGTCCCAAAAACTAATTACACTCTCTACTTTTAATCATTTATAACACTCTTCACACAAAGTCTTCTTACTTTAAGTACCATTCGGCAGGGCAGGCTTCATCTAGGATTTACAGTAGGAGTGAATCACCCAACGCTCTTCATTACTGTAGGACTCGGTGAAAAATTCAAAGGGGTTTCGAGCCATCAACGGCTACGAATTCTCACAAATGAGTACTCAATGAAAAATGAATTAACATGTGATTTTCCTAATTTATGATAATGCACCGAAAATACTTGATCGCTCACTATAATGCGAAATATGCATTTGTTATATTTGTTCATATTTTAGTTTCAGCATCCGAAAGCATAAAATATTAGGTTGGCACATAAGTTTTGCAACTTTTCCCGTAACTTTTTTCCTATTTTATGTAGCAATCTCATTTTGTGGCGTCATGTAGATCGTGATGTAAGCTGCAAGTCTGCGCAAACCGTTTGATTTTTGATAACGTAGTACAAAAAATCTAAGCATTTCTTGAAAACTGCTGAAAATCGAGATTTCACGATTTTTTGGCAAACATGAAGCCCTACGAAACCTGACTCAAACATATGAAAAAGCAATTATAGGCAGCATGTAGCTGGAAGTTCGCACATTGGAATCAGTGAAAAAGAAATGAAATTTAAACACAAATTAAGGTGGGGCGCCTTAGAGAAGTTGAACAAATCAAATGCGTCAAGTTTTGAAGGCAATTTGTCAATTACTATGCTGCGAAAAGTCGGAATTTGCGATAACTTTGCACTATAGGGTAATCCTATGCGGTAAACACGAATATCATATTCATTTGCCGCTAAAATGAAATTCATCTTTTGATCTCACAAACGAGGCCTTTTCATGAGAAAGGATCTCATTTTTGTGATCAGCATGTCAAATAGGCCCTATAGGCCAAGTTGCAGCAAAATCTGATGCATTCTAAAAATTTTCCCATAGTACCGTAAACCTACCGTAATTCTCACATAAGATGGTAAAATTCGGCAAAAATGTGTGCATTGAATGCTTACATCATATTCCTTATATAGCCAAAAAATGAATGCGCTACGTTGAAGTAGACAAAAGTTATATAAAAAGTTGCATTACTTATGTGCCAACCCAATAAAATTACTAACATGCGTCTGTACTTCACCGTGAACATTCAATATTTTGAGACTTAAGCGATATGACGGTAGAGTTTGTGGGTAATTTGAATTGGAAAAACATCTTTAGAAAAGTATCTTACAATTAGTAGAAGTTCTCTAGATTATTTCGATTCTGTCAGAGTTTGAATGTTAATTTTTTTTTCACGGATGGATCCTTGAAAGACGAGACATAATCAAGATGTGGCAACAAGTAACTTCTATGCAGTCTCAAATAAGTGCTTTCTGCTATGTATACTCTCGAGGATTGGAAAGTGTTGATGATGACTTTTGATGACATTTTCATTCAAATCCGTGGCTTTACATTGATGAAGCGAATACTGCTGATTGCTGAGGCAAGGAAGGGTGCTACAATAAGTTAATCTTCACCTTTCTCTAGTGTAATAGTACCGAACGCCAGCGCACGATGTGGGCCGTTATTGCAAGACATTGTAAGTTTTTCTTATGAGGTGGACATTGTTTTCATTGTCAGCAGATAGAGAGGGGGTTACCGAATATATACCAAGGCGAACACCCCAAAATATTATTATAAATTCGCAAAAACAAAAGCCATCATTACCGCTAAGCCTATTATATAAAAATTCGCGAAAACTGTACTTCAATAGATAGCATGAGGCGCTTCAAAAGTCTGGGAGGTACTTTTCCGTTATCCAGACCCATTTTTTCAAAAGACTCTTATAAAATACGTTCTGTAGTCTTAGAACAATTTTTCATAGGTTTTAAGAGGACTGCCTCCCCGCCATGTGTCAGGAAAAAATTGACACGTTCTAGTCCATTTTGACATGTTTTTTCGAAATCATTTCCGGTGAGGTAAGAGCATTTGTAATCATCTAGAAGCTGTTCACTTGATTTCTATAAGAGCAAAACAATCTAGAACCATCATTAAAATATCTTAATTGCTTCAAGCAATGATTAAAGAATGTATTTCCTCTTCAAACTTTCCGCCATGCGAGTTTAGCCGGAAAGTTCTATAAACGATGGCTTGAATTACCTCGCTGCTGGTTGTTTCGCCGCTTAGATAATAGAACCCTAGCGCACTTCTCTATTCTGGGCATGTCTAGTTTGTTCAGTGATAACAGAGTGACGTTATTATTATAAAAAGTTTATTTTCAAAATTGTTTACTCGAAAATGGGGTCATTAGTGACAAAAAAAAATAGGTTGAACTTGTGTCGTTAGGTAGGGGAACACAAAATCTTGGTAAAACTTGGCAAACATGTAGATGGCATGTCAAATTTTTTTGACACGTGGCAGAAGGTTGACACTCCTTCCTATGAAGTTTTGAACAAATATGGTGCAAGAAAAGAAACACTATCCTTCTTTAAAAAAATGGTTCCGGATAACGGAAAAGTACCGTCTGGGAGTCTTTGTAGCATAAGGTACTCACACATTTCCAAATTTATGCAGGCCGCTACAAACATCCTCGACAACGTGCAATTTTGTCAGGCTAAAATGACCACCATATTTATTTGCTAGGACTACAACTGTCAATTTATTCTACCCTAAATGTAGATGTATATTGTTTTGAAGGGTTTTCATTACTGCACCGAAGTTGCTTTTAGCCAACAACTAATTAATGGAAAGGAAAAGTATAATTTCGGAAACTAGCCTGCGTGCCAGCGACTATTTATGTTTATAACAAAATCCAAGGTGAACGAGTGCAGCAGTCACTAGCATAAAGACTATTCTATGTTTACGTGTCTGAGATGAGCATCTATTGAAATGGCTAAAAAATTTTGTTTTTATGTGTGAATGTTTATGAAATTTGGCTCGTTGTTTTTTTTTTAATTTTTGCGGGAGGAGGATTATTTTTTGGTTTTCATTATCACATAAATCGTTAACAATTTCTCATTAGCAGTTTGGGCAGTTTGTCTCAAAATGGTTAGATTTCCTCGAAGCCATACATCTAACCTTAAAGGCAGCTTTTCGACAAAATTGCTCTTTCAGCTTTTTACCTATGCAGAGCCTTCTCGCCATGAAAAACCCCTATCTGGCTTTTCTGCGCATAAAAATATCGAGAACGAGCCTTTTCGAAGCTCTTCAGGTCCACAATTAGTGAATACACCAAAATTTCCGCACCCAGCCCCCTCTCGTCTAACCCCGCCCACACGTATTTTCCGCTGAGTGCAGACCTGGAGAACCTCGAGAAAAGCCGATTTTCGCCATTTCCATGCGCTGAAAAGCCTAGATATGGGTTCCTCTTAATGGAAAGGCTCCGAAAAAATGAAAAATTGGGGAACGTTTCATTCTTATGCTGGTGTATGTACAGATGAGCTGGTTGTATACAATGTTTGTAAAAAAACGTTCGCACAGCATTACCTAAGGCATAATGAAAGCTATAGAGGTCATATGCAGTAGCTGTATGGAAACCCACTGAAGCTGTCGATAAGGCGAGCCATTATTTTAGCGCGCCACCTGTAAAAAATTTTTGAAAAAAATTGGCCATGTCATTTATGGCCATGTCAAAATTGCACTACTGTCTGACGAAGTAGTTTGAATGCCGCACCTTTCGGCACAGAGCGAGCCAAATTTTCAGTAAGCGCAAGCATTACTTGAGTTTCTTTTACATTTTTTGCACCCATCAGTCGGGCGCGATGGAACCCCTAAAAATTTGTTACAGCAACCCCTATCGACGTCAGCTTTGCAGGAAGGTACGGTCGGAAGCGAGTTTTATACCTTTTAACTGCAATGCCTCAACATTGTTATGTGAAATGTACCACAGGGCCTGTTTTTTTAGCTTCCTCAAAATGTGATCACGTGATTACGAAAGCCTGAAAGTCTAGCACAAAGTTACCCAATGAAAAGCATGCGTGAAAGCACAACTTTTTGAGAATTTGTCAAAAATTTTTTCCCTAAACGGCCTTTTTGGCATGTCGCTGTATTCTGGGTATTCTTACTGTAACAAAGAGCGATTAGTAATTTCCATACTTGAGAATAAGTTGAAGCCAGTTCCACAACATGGTACGTAGGCAAAAGATTTCTTGGGAAAAATGTTCACGGTTAGGCAATGGTTACATACTTTTGGGACACCTTGTATACACGGTGCCACGACAGGTGCATTCTCAAGGTTTGGTGCAAGTCTCGAGGACATACGGATATTCTCTTCAGCTGAATGTGTACCAAATCTGATACCTGGATATTTCCTTAGAACACCATTCTTCTGGCCTTCCTATGTATGATTAAAATAGTGATGATCTATGTACACTGCTTTTTCAATATTTAATGCGTCTATAGTGTAACACTACTGAATCAGAAACCCATCAATTGCGGAATCTTCAATAAAGTTTAGTGTAAGGTTACATCATCAGATGATCATAATTGCTCTGCTATGTAATAGCAAAACATTTTCAAGTGGTAAGTATAAATCAGAATTTTTGCGAAGTTTTTACAGCGGCAACTCGCAGATAATTTGTTTGCACTTTGCCGACCAGTTCTATTATTAATCACTGCACAAGTTTTCGAAAAATTTTCGAAGTTTCATTCGCTTTTTTTCAATTTTATGGAGAACTTTGTTCTGTAGTCGGTTATTGACGTGATCAGCTGCTGTACCGTGCTAGCCATTATTCATTTTATAATGGAACCTCTTTGGTTGAATTAACATCTGTACTCTACATCTATTTATCATTTTTTTTTACATATCATAGCTCTTTCTAAGGGCTACAGATTTATAATAATTAAATTTGACATCGCCTAACTTTTGAGTGAATACATCAGGATATAATGACTCTATATGTCTGTCACTGATTTCTTAGCAAAAAAAAAAGAATAATTTTATTTGTTAGCCATTCTTTGTTGCCCCACTTCCAGAATGGAAAGAGACCAATTTTTTCATTGGATATATGCTGTTGAGCCATGTGTATGAACTCTACATCCAGTCCGAAGTTTTAGTTTTGAAACAAAATGAAGGTAAAATCTATCCTCATCACTCAAACTTGTAAAGCCTAGAATAATGATTATGACCCAAATGCACATGATACCAGATGTTGAAATGGAAATAGCCTTCAGTTTTTACAAAAATTTTATGCACTTGTGGTACCACCGCATCCACACAAAATTCTGTAACTCAATTCATCTATATTCCTACGTTCTTCCGGGTGTGGGCTATCAATTTTATTGCCGCATTGGCACCACATAGCACATATTTGTCGCTTTATAATGCTTTAGGAGTATTTGAAAATTTAAATGAGTATTAGATAGTTGCATGGGTTGTTCAGTCTTTTTGCGTTGGAACCAGTTCAAGCCAACGAAGTTCGAAAATCCAAGAGCATTAATAGCAATTTTTGTAAATACATCGGTAGTTTTCCAGCGGAAATCGCAAAACTCAGCAGGTAGTAACTTCAAACCTTAGCCAATGCACTTTGTTCTGGTACTTTCTGAAGATTTGCATAGCGTCAAACAGGAGCTTTGAGTTGGCGGCAGCCATAGAAATCGTCCTCTTGACCGTCTCCCGCTATCACCCTATTCTGGTTAGCCCTTCAGACGCGGAACACGAATTCTCAGTATCCGCTTTGTCATTGCAAATGTACTCTCTTCTTACACTGGAATATGAACTATCTAAACAGTCTTCAAATAGAGTTTGCAGAGATTCGTCCAAACTGCTATCTTTTTGTATGCTTCGATGTCAGCTTTCCTGCCAGTTATACATGGAAATTGTTTGTTTATTTGTTTAAAATATTCACTTGTGTATTTGCTTGAAATAACCAAAAAGGCACAAAAAAGAAATATTTAAGTCATTACTTGCGAGCAACTTACCGTCTCCCCCCTTTTCTTACCCCGTGTCGATGAAATAGCCGCTGACTCTGAACTTGTCAGTAATTTTCAAATCATGGAGAATCTCAAAATAATCTCATAGCCCTTTGCAGAATTTTGTATGAGTGATTCATCTTGAGGTACGTTTCTTTGTGCCTTCCTTTCTGTCGTAGGGATAGAATTGGAAAAAATGCTTATTAGTCTACAATATTAACGGATTTTTAGATTAGAAAGCTTTAGAAAGATTTTAGTTTGACTTCATTCCGCATGACTTTATTTTTTCATGTTTTATACATGTACAACTGCCTTTAGCACGAAATGTCTTGCAGAATGTGGTGGGGTGAAATAGTCAAAAAAGTGAACTGCACTATTTATAGTGTAGGAGAATTTCAGAAAAAAAGAGTGAGAGGGAAGGGAAAGATGGATGTGGAAAAAAGAGGAGAGAGAAAGAGAAAGGGAAAGGAAATAAATGTCAATGAACCCGAGCGTGAATGAAAAGATGTCTTTTGCCTTCAAAGAAATCTGTGAATAGATGTATGTTGTTTTTAAGACATTGAATACAATCTCGTCGTTCAACACAATCCGCTCGTGTTAAAGTGATCTCTCGAATTTGAGTTCTGTACAATACGGAAAATTGCATATTCAAAAATTTCATTAACCTTAGTATGTATTCGATTGCGAATTGCTTGGGAATGACATCAAGATCAAACACATGTCTGAGCAACCACCATATTGTAAAGTCTTCTTTTATGTGAACATTCGTTGATGGATCAGCGTCTGTGATTTCCATTACAATGTAACTGTAAACACGCATATTGAATTTTTGGTTGAAACATTCTTCCGACCGCTCACCAAGTTAAATATAATAAAGCGGCTGTTCATCGACATTGATTTGTAATTGTATAATAGAACTTATTCGTAAACTTAACTTAAAACCTTTCCTTGACTACTTTTCTTCTATCAATACGAGATTCGAAAATTTTACTCTATTTTTGTTGATACCCAAAAAATTAAGTGCTTTTGAAGATTGGTGTTATCCTTATCATTAGGCAATATAGCTCCCAAGGATTGCTGGAGTTTTGCAGATATGTACTTTGCGAGCAATTTATGCTTCATCGAATAATTTCTAAAAATAAGCATTGTAAAAAAGTTTCTTGGAGACGTGGCGGGAGCCGCGCCCCCTTTTTCTAAGCTTTCGGAGGTATGGGCAAAAATTCTGAAATTTGACGTCCTTCTTGAAACCGACCATTGAAGCTGGAGTTGTTGCCATGGTTAAGTTTTTTTTAAAGAAATCTGTATCAGTGGAGGAGCTCAAGTAGTGGCGAGTAGAGCATATCTTGCACTGTACGAGATTTTTTAGAGGAAATTTTACAATCTCAAAAAAGTCCCTTAATGATCGATAACAAATAATCAAAGGAGAAACTGTAAAATTACAAACATTCAATTTTCATGCGATATTCTCATTTTTCATTCTGTGGTATCATGTAGGGATATCCTGCTGTTCTTGCATTTTATTGGAGACCTACTGAGTTGTTTTAAGAACACAACTGCAAGAAAGAGAAAGGAAGTTTGCGTTAGATGCACTCAGCTCACCTTGTGAAATTGTAGTATTAAGTGTCAAGGAGTTTTAAGGATATGGAAGAATAATTTTGGAGTGGGTAAATAGAGTTTAGCGAGAAGAGCGAGCCTAGCAAGGCTCCATCACTAAAACTATGCTGCACTTTCTTACAAGTATAGTTTCTTCACTCTTTTTCATTCAAATTCTTTAACACGTAGACGACCGAGCCATTTTTGACCAGATCAAAATGGACTGATGATCTACGGCTGCGGTTTAGACTGTTTAAAGGCAGTGTCTCACCAAAATTTAGTTGCCGAGATTTTTGCATTTTGCAAGCCTGTCTGACCCTGTCTAGCACTGTATGCGCTTAAAATCGCACGAAGTTCCCAAAATCCCCGTTTTCTGGAGGCCCCGTGGAAGCAACATGGACGAGTTGTACCTTCCAACTTCAGCCTCAGCCACAGTGGTAGCAACAGAGGGGAGGTGGATGCCAAGTGGTGGGACATGTTCAAACGCGTAAGGGGGGAGACCGAAGGAGTCGTCCGCGCGTACCAACTCGCTCTCCGCGTACCACTTTGAGCTAATTTTTCTCAGCGTGGAAAGGGTCAAATTGAGTGGGACCTGTTGCAATGGCCTATTTAGAGCTCTCTGTTACAGAATATGTGAAAATCCGCGCGACCTCAACTTTGGTGAGACGCTGCCTTTAACAGCTACCGCAATGCCGTTTGTTCTATATGACAATCGGGCCACCAGTGTTAACATTGCATAGAAGTTACCTGAGAACTTTTCGTTTACACATGATAAATTGATGCACGAAAGTGCTAAAAGGTGGTCAGGGCGTGCATACGCGCGGATGCACACGGTCGTCAACGTGTTAAGGATGACAAAGTGATGTGAGTTTTGCGCCAAGATAATTCACATTAAAGGGCCTAGAATCTTATAGATACAACTCTGAGCGTTGACGCTATAATTTATAATGCAGGGAAGCTCCCAACTATAAGATTTTAGGCTGTTGATTGTGAATTTTTGCGCTACTGATCCCAAGGATACACAGTAGAATCACCGGAATCTTCGCATAATGGTTTGTTTGCTCATTTGATCGCGGCTGATGGCTGATTCCGGCCACCGAGAACCGCTCCGTCGATAGGCGCTCAACATTGTCAACAAACATATGCTCCGGAGAAATCTGCGCGAAACGCGCCCTAACTTCGCTAAGCTCGCGACTAGCGCCGCACTAATGACACTAATAATTTCGAGCCACCAAAGTTGTAAGCAAAACCAGGCCTTCGACTGGCAGCAGTGGTTTGGTTGTAGAGTCAACAGACACTCTGACACAGGCACGAGTAGCAGAGCAGGCGCAGATCGGCAACACATCTCAAGCACCGCACGAGCGCCGCACTCTGAGCGCCGCCGGCCTGGAGCGGGCCTTGCCCTCTCTCGATTCCGTGCTCTACGCGTACGATCCGCTACCCGTCTCTCAGAAATCCAGTTATTGTTCTTCGTCGAATGAGTTGAGCGCTCTTTTTCGCTAACGAAAGCTCTTCTATACAACCGTTTAGGTGAGTAAATTCCTAGCGTTCTTTCCTTTTGTCTTACTGCTATGTTTGGATGACTCAGTTGCCGCTGCTGGCTGCTGTTTCCTTCCTATTCTAGGGGCATACTTATATAGTAATGCAGGCTTCAGTCCCACTCATATACTATCATTATCTTTCTGCAAATCTGTTTTTTTCAATGGCAAATAGCACAAAGTTGTTATGAATTCTCTACAAATTATTTCTTTCGCTTAGACGAACTTTGCATTCTCGCCCTCTCCGCGACAGTAAGACAGAGTGCTTAGAATGCTTTGCGAAATATTTTTGACAAAATCATGAAGCTTATCTCAAATTTTTGTGAATCTCTTAGCATAAATTTCATGTAACCCTTGATTCAAACTGGTTTGGCGGCCGGAAGGTGGGGCTTTGTGGCCTAATTGGGGCCGCTCGCGTCCGCGACGCAGTGTGCGTCTCTTCAGCGCGCGTGCTCTCTGATCGTTACCTATCCTTAAAGGCAGTGTCTCACCAAAATTTAGTTGACGAGTTTTTTGCATCTTGCACGCCTGTCGGACCCTATCTAGCACTGTATGGGCCTAAAATCGCACAAAGTTCCCAAAAACCCCGTTTTCTGGAGGCCCCGCGGAAGCAACGTGGACGAGTTGTACCTTCCAACTTCAGCCTCAGTCACAGTGGCAGCAACACAGGGGAGGTGGATGCCAAGTGGAGGGACATGTTCAAACGCGTAAGGGGGGAGACCGAAGGAGTCGTCCGCGCGTACCAACTCGCTCTCCGCGTACCACTTTGAGCGAATTTTTCTCAGCGTGGAGGGGGTCAAATTGAGTGGGACTTGTTGCAGTGGCCTATTTAGAGGTCCCTATAATAGAATATGTGAAAATCCGCGCGACCTCAACTTTGGTGAGACACTGCCTTTAATTAGCTCACGAAGCCCCGCCTTCCAACCACCGTAAAAGCAAAGGGTATTTGGTCATTTCCAATGTCAGAGAAAATCTCTCCAAAGCAGTTCCCAACGTTTTCAAAGTGTTTTTTAGGCGCCACGCCTATCCTGAAACTGAGTATAATTCTCCGGCTTTCATTATGTATCGCATTTGCTATATCAAACAATTTTCCTTTGTTTCAAGTTCTTAAGTCCTTTGGTTGAATAGTTACGTTACACTTCGTAAGGTCTGAAGTCGTAATTTTGCTTGAATTTTTCAATAGGCTTATTTTATGCATGTCGCTAATGCAAGGTACTGCTTTACAATTACAACAAATTATTGAATCAACTCTGTAAAAACTGAGGGACTAAAATTCCGTCTTACTTCTGAACAAACGGAAAAGATTTTTCTCTTTGAAGAGTTTTAAAGGGGTAAAACTAAAAAGCTTGATTGTCTTTATATGGATGAGAATGAAATATATTCATTTTGCCTTAAAGTCTCCCACCACAACAAAATCGGGTCTCACTTCAAGTTCTTAGAAAATAATTCTTCGCGTTGCTTGTTTAAATCGTTTTTCATTGGCTTTGGTTGCTAAGTTTGCAGCTCTGAGGTTTTTTTACTTTTAGAAAGTCCTTCCGACAGCGGCTTAGAGCTGATATGCACAGGGCTTGGCACAGGTGGTTTATGAAGCAAGCTGGATATCGTTTTTAGGACAAAAAGCATAGGGGGTATCGCTTTTGTGGCCAAAGAAACACAAATTAGGTCACGTTCTTTTAGTCGATGTTTGGTTTTTTTAGTGTTTTTTACGCTCAATTTAGGGTCAAAGGAAACTTCGTAAAATTTTTGCGAAAGTCAAGGATTACTTCGTTTTTTGCATTTTCGGAAAGCCACCTCGTGCCGAGCTCTGGGTATGCCAACGCAGAACACCGCAAGTCGCTGAGAAGCGGCCAGAAGTTGCTTTCTCTATTAAATAAAATGGATAATTTTGAGTAAAACTCTTGGATTTCAATAAAGGCGCTACAGGAAGTATTTACGACACAATCTCAAATTTCATACTAAGTTGAAACCATCAGTAAAAAGCTGCGCTGCTGCAGTTTTTCTATTTACTTTCAGACTTGATTTTCTCCCTTTTCTTCGTATTTTGCAAGCTACCACTAGCTGCTGCTGTACTTGAGGTTTTGCTGAACAAAAAAAGCGGGCAAGCATTATCATTGATTTATCGTGTTTTGGTTATATTTTTTGGGAATTCTGACTCAAAAGCTATTTGTAGAGATAAATTATCAGCTTTGAAAAAATCTTCGAGACAATATTTTGCCAAGTTTCACATTGTTCAAACCTAAGAGCGCTGTTCTTAAGAAATGTTTAACCCATCAAAGCTTTAGAGCCATCATTCAAAAAGTCACAGTTTTATCAAAAACAGGTATCCTTTGACTCAACTGGCTTGACGGCTGGAAGGCGGGGCTTCGTGACCTAGTTAAGGCCAGGATTATCAGAGAGCAGGCGCGGGAGAGATCGCGGGCGCGAGCGGCCTCAATCAGGTGACAAAGCCCGCCTTCCAGCCGCCAAACCAGTTGAATCAAAGGTTACTAACGAGTGCTAACCCCACTGAACTCGGCGGAGTTCAAGGGGGCTAGCACCCCTTTTTGATAAAACTCCAAAGCCTATAGCAACGCTGACTTGTGATTAGCAAGTTTGTACTTGTTATTTATTGCGTCTTACATGATTTACCACTTATATATAAGTAGTATAACAAGTTTGAGCCTGTCGAAAAACGTGTGCAAAAGCGTCTTCAGAGTTTCATAGTTACAGAAACAAGTGCCTAATACATTTCAATCATACGATTATTTTCTTGCATGTGTTTATTAGAATACAAGGTGTTTAACATATTTGCCCTAAAGTAAATTCATTTCAAATTCTGAAGTGCTTTTTGTTTCATTGTGCTCATTAAACATAGCTTCTTACGTATGCTGCTATCTTCGTAGAAATAAGTTGGTTTTCGCACCCCGTTGAAATATAAGAGATCCGGCTTTAAACTTTTTTCGTCAAGAGATCTAGCTTCAAAATTTCTATATTTTATCATCACTTCGTAAGTAGACAGGCTCCTCTGTTGTTTCTTTGATTATATGGTTAGGTTGAAACACAATAATATAGCTTTACACGTTTCTTGTTGCAAAGAGAAAACATTTTCCTCTGAAAACTTTGTACGCCATCTAGAAGTATTTTCTTCCTGGTCTCTTCCGTATACTGCTGTTTTCGTAGAAATGAGTTGGTTTTCGCACCCCGTTGAGATTCAAGAATTCCAGTTTCGAAATCTATTTGTCAAGTGATGTGGCTTCAAAAGTTCTTTATTTTATCTTCAGAAACATTACAAGCGTGCAAAAATTTTGAAGACGGACACAGTGATAAATAGGATTTTGCAACATATACACATCAAAATCAGACTTCCCAAAAATTTTCCAAACATTTCGGCCTAAGCTTGCACGTTTGCCTGCTGTACTTTAGCGACATGAAGAAATCTTTTTTCGCGAGCTATTGAGGAACTTTAGCCACATAAAAAGTGTAAACTTAGACTTTTGGGAGAACGGAAAGTTGTTACCGTTATTAGGCGTTGCAATAAATAAAATAAATCGAATAACGCATTTTTCGTCTCTTTAAGAAAGCTGGAAAAAGTTGTTACTTTTGAATTTTTTATATATGTATATCTATATATAAAGTATCGTTGTGCCTATTCAAAAATGTGAGATTGCGGGAAATCGCGCGGCTCCCGCAACGAACGCTACTGCATCTAGCACCTTCAAATCAATGGTTCACTAGCATTGGAGAAAGAAAGTTTTTTTTCTTTGTTGATTCAGTGGTGTCTAGATTTAGCGAACCACATAGAATAGAAAATGGTTAATTCGGAATCGAAGCACTCGAGGCCAGAACCTTTTCAAACACCTTGTATTTATAGCTATAATTTTCAGTGCTCACATGCTGAGTTCCCTTTCCAACCTTTGTTAGCTCATTTTTTGCTAGCAGCTAAGCTCACGGTACACCAAGAATTGAGTTCTCTCCTCCCCGCACTTCACATACAAGACACACCATCATCGTGCAGAAACATGGCTTGATATTTTACAAAGTATTTTGACTCACTGGATCCTCACGTCGTACAGTGCAACACTTTCAGTGCACCCCATCCGTGCTGTGTGAAATGTGAACCTATCCTCCAATCAGATAAGCTCTTGACGTCATGACACATATGTTGTCGTTATTGAACTACTGCAGTCAGCTGTTTGAGGTCCTCTCCCAGCTTCGACGACGCTCGGCTCGCGTCACATCGATCGCATATCGCTTGATTAAATCGCTCTTGATAGTTCTTATTTCTCCTAGAATGCTCAGTTTTTGCCTTAGTCACAGTCGTTTAGTCGTTTTCGGACTAATTCTGCTCCTCTCATTGTATGTAGCAGCTGTCAGTGGCAACAATGATGTTCGTTCGAATTTCGACACGAACACGCTCAGCCAACTGACTCCTTGTGCAGTGCTCTGCTCCCTGAAGTAGAAATGAATTCTTGATCCGCTTCAGAATGGCTACGCGACGGCGGTATGGCACCTATGGAAGGGCCGTCACGCTTCCGGCTCCGGTGCTCACTCCGACTGGCGACTGGCCGCGACCGACGGAACTGCCGTGGAGGTTCATTTACACTACACAAGCTTACTTTACTCCGTCTTTACGTGAATGTCATAGATCTTTTTCTCAAATTGCCTGAAGCTAAGCAAAAAATTCCCGAGCAAAAACTAGACTACGTAGGTATTGCGCGAGTGCTCAGAAAACGCGCTGTAATCATTAAAAAGTGACACCACTGGTAGCAGCAAGATGGGAAGGCAGGTTTCCCGGTATCAGGGAACTGAGAAGATTCTTTCCTTCTCACACAAGTTAACAAATCCAAAAGTGCAATCTGTCAAAATCTAGCTTTTACAGAATGATCTATTTTTCGATCAGACAATTTTTGCATATTTCTTCTGCGTTGCCTTGTCTTCTTTCAAAGAATCAAAAATCTCTCACTGCTCCCTCACAGAGTGCAACGTGTAAGTGCAAAAATACTGAAGTCATAGGTTAGATGTAGATATTGAAAATTTTTGCTTTTCGGTCTTAGGCTCGAACCATGAACGCATACTCTTGCACTGCAAGAAAACACTATTCAATTCCGATGAGCCAATAACTCTCAGTAAATCACCAGAATAAGTCTGCTCCTTGTTTACATCGTGCAGCAGATTAGTTCAATTGTTTTATTACGAAAATGTCAAGTGTAGAAAAGTGCGCAACATAGATTGCAGAGAAAGCTAATTATTCCCTGCGATACTCTGCTGACATCAGCTCTTACAATGTTTGTTAATCGATATATTGATAAGATATGATCTTGATGTAGCTAATCGATATATTGATTGATTAGTGCTTATGATTAGTGCTTTTACGTCTGCGCAAATGTTGCGTCAGTATATGAAAGCTAGGTAAACAGATAAAGGTATGGGTGCTCAGTGGGTGGGCCGAGTTTGAGAAAGCCTTGTTGTAAGACATCTTCCTATAGGAGTAGAACCGATTGCTTGTACGAATATGTTTGTTAAAAAATTCTTAGAGAACCCCAATAACCACGCAGTCTACATTTTATTAAGTCGGCGAAAAATATCTGTTACATTTTCTTTTTTATTGTGAAACATTCCAGAGCTTCACCTAGGGCATAACAAAATCCTATGTTATCTCAAATACACGAAAAGTCAGCAAGTTTACGACATTCTGTAAAAACTCTCAAAATTTCATTTTTCTCTGCGTCTGCTTGTGCTTATCCTCGTCTAAAATAATTTTAAAGTGCCGTCCGAACTATGCCTTTAACATGTGAAACACGAGCATCTCGGTCAAAATTTTGATGAGCGCCAAGATGGCACACACCGACATCAAAACGACTCAGATAAAGTTGCCGCAAATTCTCAAATACGAGGGACTACTCCTTATCCGCCCACTTTGTCAAGACTACCGCTTTGGAGGGATGCCAACCAATTAAAAAAAATGGCCACAAAACAGACTTCCAGCCAAAAAGTGGTTTTGCGCACGACCCCGCGATTGTGACGGTGCTGATGGGTAATTTCTAGCACCCTGGCAATATGTTTGGAACATAAGATTCAGCGAAAGCCACTGATTTTTAAGAAATAAAAGTAAAAGTGTATACATGAAGCTGATTTTTTGATGGACTGTTTTGTTATGAATGTATTTTTTAAGTCGTATTTGCTGACTGGATTTTGTTTACCTAGTGTGCTTGTTGCTTTTTGATGGTTCTATAATCGAACGGCCAAGAAATTTAGCATCTCGAAAAAAAAGCAAGTAGTAAAAGGACTTTCGCCAACAGGTGGCACCTTATTTTCAAAGATACTGGTCCTTCTGCACTTGCTATCGCATAGCGTGAGTGGACCAATAGTCCACGGGGGGGGGGAGGGGAGGGGGGGGGGAGGGCTGATGGTGGTTTTTTTACTTTACCCCAAAATACCAAGTACTAATTTGCGGTAAATAAAAAACAACGAAAACCATACCGTTCAGAATGAAGAGTTTTCATTTCTGCTAGAGCGATCTTTTTGTTACTGGTAAAAGTTTGTTTCAAGACAACTCTGGAGTACATTGTTTACTTCCCACCTTATGATAAGCTGATCTAAAAACATGTCACTGTTAACTGCTGAGCAGTCGGATCGTTTTTTCGTAATCCAAAGTCACTGAGACGAGTTGGTGTAGCGGGGGCGAGCGAGCGGCAGCAGGTGTGGGGTGGAGTGCAAACCCCGTGACGAGGCTGCGTGCTGCTGACTGGGGCGAACGCTCCCACTCATAGCTTCAATTTATCCTCCGGCGAGTGACTGACTGAAAAGATTTGCGTCGGTTTGCGAGCTGCTGATGTCTTGAGAGTTAGAGCAGTGAACAAGGCAGAAAATATTTCTCATAAATCTGGTTGACGATCGACGTCAACAGCAAATAAAGTGCCGATTACGCAGAGGAAAAAAGGCACTCAATCCTGCCATTTTTTTAAAGAGTTGATGTAGACTTTGCGCGGTTTATTATACGCTTTAGGCCTCGGGTAGAGTTCAGGCGTTATCTTCGTCGCGATTTTATCGTCGCGATTTCGATGGATCGGGCGATGAAAACGCGACGATGAAATCGCCCTTCACAAATACATGGGCATAGTCTAAGCGATTGCGTGCATTGACAGACAATAGCTCAATAACAGACGTTACTTTTCCTTCTCCTGCAAACAACACAAGTTTAAATAGCAAGCATAGCATTTACGTTCACAAAAAACTTCCAAGTTCTCCTCAAATCCAGAAATCGCCCTGTGCAATGCAGGCGACGCGATATCGCTAGGTTTTTTGAAGTCGCGGCGATTATTACTGAAGAATTATGTCATGAAAAACTGTCAGCGATTCGTCGCGCTGTAAAGCTATCACAACCGAAATGCAAGCTGATCGGCATGCAATGATTTTCTAACAACTGTTTTGTCGCGATGAAATCGCGACGACGAAATGCGTAAACTCTGCCCGAGGCCTTAGACTAAAATAACAGCAGCTTTATCTCTATGATTATTATTTAAATTATAGGCGAGTCATCGCACGCAGAGACACGACGTCAATGCGAAGGGGTTTCCCTGATCAAGTGCACTTTTCTTCTCTTATCGTCTGCTGTCTCTTCCATGCACACTATCCTAGTGGGACGCGATAGCGCCCAGTCTCTGCGTGTCTGCATCACCTTTACTAAGCGCCAAAAAATGGGAGAAATTAGATAATAAAAAAAGAAAACTAGCGCATCATACATAATGTGGGTACGTATTGAGAGATATGGATGACCGGAAAAGTAAGCAAGCGTAGCAACCAATGCCAAAATAAATCCCCTAAAATCCAGCATATAAGTCCGGACTTATCTGCAAAAAGCGGACTTATGTGCAGGACTCTTGGCGGCCCGAGGGTTTTCATCGCCTTTCCTTGTCAAAAAGCGGACTTATCTGACGGATGGACTTATTTGATAGGAGGACTTATATGCCGGATTTTAGGGTATTTGAGGTGAAAGGAAGCTTTACAAGTCTGATGAGAAAACTGTTCCTAAATGCACTAAATTCAAATCATAGCATTTGGAATCATGTTAGCTTGAATTCTGAATTGCTACTGAAACTCATACAGCCAATAAATCCAAGCAACATTCTTTCATCTAAAACGCTTGTGAAACCTTAAAAACGTCGATTTTGCAGTATATTATATAAACCGGTTATATTGATGTACATTCATGGGGCAGAAATGCTAGAAATGTAATGCGTTTACGAGTGAATTACTGTGATGGTTTTTCACGGATTTGCTGCTGCGAACCCTACTGAACAGAATTATACATTTTTTGACTTTAGTAGGATTAGTTTGCACATCGTGATTCAGTGCAGCAGCGCAAGATTACGTCGTATTTATCTTTTTCAAAAATATATCAAAAACACAGAATAGGCTGCTACGGCTTTCATAGGAGCTTTGCAAATAGGAAAAAAACTTGCAGTCATAATTTCCACAGCCCAGTTCCTTAGGCGAGTATGGAATTTAGTTACAGATTGTATTGCATTGTGTGCATATTCCCTTTACGTTGTTCAGCGCAGGGGGATGGCGGTAGAGAAGGACGTGAGAGGTTAGCCTGAGTGCGACAGAGCGCAATCAAAAAAGGTGCTTATCTTGCAGGATATTTATTCACATGGTAGAATTGCAGCGCCTACAAAAAAGGGCAAAAAACAAAAGGCACATTTGATTCATTCTGAAACCACATTCACGATCCCAACCCTTGCTATAGTTGATTGCAGGGAATCGCCCAGGTTGAACGCCCATGAGCGTTTCTTGCGGGCTAACATTGGCATTCGCTCGCATGAGTCTTTGGCAGCCGCGTTGCAGGCACGCTCGCGTGCGTTCAGCCTACAGCGATATGGGCGATTTCGTGCAGTCGACTTTAGTAATGCTACAGATTCAGGAGCGTAAGCGATTGTAGTCAGCAGCTGATTATAGTCTATGTAAATACGTATGTCCCTTTTCGCATTAGCCGTTTTGCGCAAGCTCGGTGAAATAATCGCGGTAAGATGCCTTTGAGGTGCGGATGCCTATCCGCGACAGCAAAGGAAATCCGCTAAACTTTCCGTTTTCAATGTGTTATGCTTTTCATGGTAGCTCAACTTGTGGTCTATGACTTACTGCCTTGTGGTCTATGACTTACTGCCATTGCATCAAAACTTGTTTTCTTCAATGACTCGGTTTTTCACATGAACAGCTCATAATGCATGAAGAACAGAGGGGCAGACAATGCGTAACCTGCGGCTGCGGCGGCGCGGTAGCATCTGCGTATCTTCAGTCTACGTTGTTCCTCTTCTTGCACGAATAAGTGCACACTCCCAGCACAATCTTATTAGTGCTTCTTATGTGACTCATCGACTTGCATGCAAAGTGCTTGAAAGTCTTTTTTTAGGTTTTATTTGTTAATTGCTTCTCACTTGTTTCTTACTATAATTGTGCAGGACTAATGCCATAGGTATAGGCGATTCATAGTGCGCAAGGACTGCGACGTATCGCCGTCCCGCTAATCGAGCGATTTTCTTCTCTTACCATCCGCTGTCTCTCCCATGCACGAACTGTCTTCGGACGCAACGCCGCTCAGTCTTTGACTGTATGCAGTCATGAATCGTGTATGCAGTCTGCTTGCGCAGGCATGGTAGGAAATGTAAGGTGTAAAAATGCATGATTTGTGGCAGATGTCCGCGCGAGCGGGACCTATTGGCGACAGAGCTTTCTCTACCTTAATATAAACCAGCACTAGAGAATTTGTGTGCTAAAAGCTCTTCCATGACGAAGGCGGTCGGTTCGATCTGCGACGCGGCTACGACCCGCGTGTTCGAGCATCTCTTACCATTAGAGTTACCTCTTAACCTAGCTCGCTTGGGCGGCCGCCTTCGTCCTGGATTAGCTTTTACCATTACCTGAAAATCCTTGGTGTCTTTAGAGATTACTCAAAAAATGCAGTATTGTGCTCAACTTACCGTATACTCATCTTTACAGGGCAGCCTATGCACAGCCGCCTCCTCCACCAATTCAGACGATTCTACCGCCGGCTTTGCCCCTCGAATCACCGAGCAGACGTATCGAGGCGAGAATGAGACAACGGCTTATCAACGAACGACTGCGAGCAGTGCACAGTGAGTGAGCTAGCTCGTAATGGGAGTCGGGGGCGGGTGGGAAAGAAGCCACAATGGAATCCCGACGGATAATTATGGCTGTTTCTCGAGCGAACCGGTCTGTGCTACCTGAGACAAGCTCACCGTACCCACTTAGACGAGCTCTTGAGAGATAAGTCCGGCCATGTATAGATTTCAAATCCACTTGCTTTCCTAGCTCTTTCCTAGTTTGCTACCATCTTATATGCCTTCTTAGATCGGCTCGAAAACTCTCAGGCTTATGCCGTCTTCCAAAATCTGCCTTCTCAAATTCTTTTTCCTCTTTCTTACCAAAGTTGAAAAATAAGCGCAAGGAACGCACACCTTTAAAAACTTCATAAATTCTTCATAATTCAAAAGAAAATGGGTTTTTGTAATCTTCAATATTAGACCCCTTTCTCGTCAACTAGAACTCACACGAGCTTTTGGAATAAAGGCTTATAAGCGTCTTTTTAATTAGCCCAAACATTTGCTCTGATAACATCCTCTTGATGAATGCACAGTTGCTCTACCTCTTTCTCCTTAAAATTCAGGATTTTTTGATACATATGAATCCCCGATAATTTGGCTAGAATGCTCAAAGAGCAAGTTTGTGTAATCATGATAACTGAGACCTTTCTTTTCTCCCTATTATTTTTGTTTTTGAATTGCAGAAATCAAGCAGGTTTTCCACTTGTTCAAAAGTTTTACAAAGTAATAGACTAGTCAATTAATTTCAGTTCCCATCGCTGGAGACGATGGAAAGACTTCGATACAAGATCTTATGGATCGCTATTTGAACAAATCGAGAGAATCGGTGGGTCGTCGTACACCACCATCGCCGACGACAAGAAGAGAATCTGATCAGGATGAGATCAGACAACTGGTTAACAGGTAGGGATCACTCGTGTATCTGCACATAGTCTTCCACCTTCCTCGTTCTGAATCACATCTCTTCGAATTATCCTACCATTTATTTTACCCATCTGCTGATCTCATAGAGAACAGCCTATTTTTCATGGCTAACAATTTTGAAAATCGCTATTCAAACGTCATATTGCATGGATTTCTTACAATCCTAAGTAGCCGTTCGTTAGACGGGAAACCTGCACCTTTACATACGAATTGATTCAGGAATTAAATGATATGCCAGTAAGTTGAAGCTTCAGTGCTCTCTATGTAGAGATCTTTTCGGCATCAAAGTATCAACAAGCGATTTTGTGCTAAAGGTTGTGTCCATCCTATGCCAGCGCCTCGACAGCGATGCCACCGCCATACTTGAACCTGGATCGATCAGTGCGGACGCGTACGCATTTGCTGCGGCGCGGCCACAGTGCTGACATGGTGCTAGCACGGCGCTGGCACAGCTCCGGCACACGGACTTTGAACGCAGCCTGAGTGGGGCGATAGTCAGCACTGCTACTTTCTGAGGTTTAAATTGAGTGTACTAATGTAAGAGATAAATTGCATGCTTGAAACAACATTTATGAAGCTGTCTCACATTTACGAAACAGAAGACTATGAGCGGTATATGTGCATGTATGCCCCCGATCCTAAAAGACATTTTTCTCTGGAACGATAAGGACAAAACCTTGTGTACATACGGGAGTGATGATGTCAAACAAGCTATCTCTGTCGAGTGACTAATATTTTCAATTATTGATATCTGATTATGCTATAGAAATGAATTGCTCTCATATCATTAATGCATGCTCTTGAAATTGCGCGAGTTTCATTTCTCACTCAATTTCGCTCCATTTGCATTACAAATTCTGCTCCAGAAGCCACGCATTCCTTGCTGTAAAACTGTCAAGATGGTAATATAGTCAATCTCATGGCATCAAAGACTGTTTAGAAGGTTCGAGCACAACTACTCCTCCCCTTCCCCCTTTCCACATTTTACATGAAGGGTTATTTGCGCATGCACAAGGCGTCAGGATCCAGAACGATCTTTTAATGATGTTTAGTCTTAAAACCAGCGGAATGCTGAACGGAGGAAAATTTGAAAGGGGGGGGGATTATTGAGTGGTCTGACCATGCAAGTCATAGAATTTCTATTTGTTTTTGGCTTGTAAAACTAAGTAATTTTCAAAATCTGTAAAGACTATTCGTAATATGTATATTGGGTTGAATCAAAGGTTCGTTCTTGCCATTAAAAAATCGTAACTGTTTTTCTTACGATAATCTTGCCCGGCAAAAATAATATTACAAAGTGCAAAACGTATACTTTCTAAGGAACCTTGCTTGTTCTTCACTCAGCTTTGTTTGCAGAGATAAGGGTAAAGAAAATCACTTCAATTTTGGTTGAGGCAAGCTCGTTAAAAAGCAAAACTGTACCAAATCCAAAACAGGCTGTATCCTTGATTATTTGACCTCCTCTTTCTAGCGGAAAAAATTCGCGGTGATTAAGCTGCTCTTTGAAAAGTTGTGATTCATGAAAAGAAGTTCATGAAGTCAATTTTCTCAAGAAACTGATTTTTTGGCATTTTCTCTCTAAAGTCATAACTTTTTTATGAAAGAATTGGCCAGCACGAATTTTGCTCAGCTCGAAAGAGGGGATCAGAAAACCTAGCTTCCGCCTGTTTGGATTTTGAAGCACAGTTTTGGAGTTTTTAACGGGCTTGTCTCAAAATTCCGAAATGGAAGTGATTTCCCTTTCCCGATTTTACAACCAAGTCTTAGTAAAGAGCGACCAAGGTGCCCTTAGTAAGCACACACTTTGCTGATTTTTATAATATTTTGTCGTGCAAGAATATCGTAAGAGAAAGAAGAACGATTCGTTGAAAATGGTGCGAACGAACTTTCGGTTCAACCTAATAGTTTCTATCCGGAGCTTGTTCTCTAGGCTGACAATAACTCAGGCTAACTTGCCGACGCCATCCTTTTGCAAAATTTCTTGTCACCCTTTCCAAAGAGAATTTCTTTGACCGTTTATATCACGCAAATTTTCGTTTTGCTTCGTGGAGAATATTCAGTTATTAGACATCATGATCTAAAATAACTTGCCCTGTCCAATGAAATAACTTCTAGCTTTTTGCTTGGTATATCTTTCTGCGGTGTCAGAGAATTACTGCAGAGACAAGGCGCGATATAATTGGGTACACTTTTTGCACATTTTTGCCATCTGGGGCGCGAATTTCTCTTCTTAATGTCTCTTTATCGATCAGGAGATCCCTTCATCCTTTGCGTTTACTCTACTTTTGATTGGCATCTCACTTCAAGAGCACACGTGTGTAAATTTATTGGACTTCTATTTTCTTAAGTTTAGAACTTCGCAAATTATTGAGAAGTATCGCCACTGCTGTTCTTTTTTGTGCCTCAAGTTTCGCACACATGGATTCACAGCAACCTTGTGCGCATTTACCCCTTTTATTAAAATTTTGCTTTAGGTACACGTCCCCAGGTGCTGAAGATCATCCCGAATCGAAGAAACGTGCAACCGGTGAAGTTGAAGTACACAATCGTCAAGAAGAAGCAGATCGGTCAGTTGCATAATTTTTGCGCGTTTGTTGCAAAATTTTGCAAAATTGTGGATTCTGTGGGAAAAAGCTTTCGTAGAATTCTTTGTCTTCATGTTAGAAATGAGAAAAACCGGACAGAAAGCTACCAGAATAAAAAACTTTCTGCGAATAAATGGTTTTAGATCTGTGTCAATCCCGTCGTCTATTTTGCGCAGAACACGCATCCGCAAGGCTGGCGAAAGTCTTGCGTTTGCAGACTTCGAATCAGTGAGGTCCGTTTGAGTGTGAGAGTCACACATGCGCGAACATGCCGCTAAGCTCAGGCGTAGCGGTTGCGCTCACGGGAAAAGGAATATGAGATTGACACAGTACACCAAGATTACATCAGCTTCTGCTGCCTCCATTGCTTATGCCTTGTAAATCGAAAAATTCGGAAAAACACGACATTATCTGTCCTTCTTGCGGAACTTGCTTTCTTTGCGGGGAGGAGAAAAGAAAGGAGCCAACAATTCCGCTTTCCAATTTTTTCCAATTTTCTATGGAAATCAATGTTCGAATATCCGTTTCTAGTTTTGAGCAACAAGAAGCCACTGCTGGAGAATCTGAGCATGCATCCTATCGACCACCAAAGCCGAAAACTTCAGAAACGAACAGGCGACCGTCGAATGTCTACTCCACGAGTAAGTTTCTGTTTTTAGAGTATTTTTTCTTCATCTCTGCTTCTCTTGTATGGAGTTTTTTATAAATAGGTGCAAATAACTTCCTAATGTCTATGGATCTTGCACTTTACATCTTATACTCACTCTTTTTCTTTTCTTTTGAATATATGTAAGTTCACGTACATTTTTTGATGCTGTCGTCTCCTGATCTCGAAAACACTTTTTGAATGTCAAGAGGAAGATCGGATTCAGGACTTTCCACAATATTTACAAAAAATCAAATCTTGGAATTCAAGGGCATCAAAAAACCGTACAGGTTGGAGAATAAATGACTGCGCATGACCAAAATACCCATTTTCTTGTCTTTCCATTGTTTTTTTTGTCGCATTGAAACAATTTTTTCGGTCAAGGAGTCGTTTTCTTGAGCGCTTCATTGTTCAAGAGCGTTTAACCAAAAAAAATTCCCGACGCATGTCGTCCTCCTCCACTGCTCTGGTATAAAGCGCAAGATCAGACTTAAGTTTCGTATTTCTCATGTTCACAAACTTTTTTGTTAGGGTCAGAGAATAAATGATTGCATCTAACAAGGGAGGTGTTTTTGGTCGAAGTGGCCTTTTCACACGAAATTGATACGACTATAAAGAGCATCAAACGCTGATTCCAAATCTATCTTCATTATCTGCCGAGCGCCTCTAGTCGTCGAGCTATGAGCGTTTTTTGAATTGAGAAATTAAATGCATAATTAGGACAATATTCGCAGATTTGCTCAAATGGTCCAATGTTGATTATCAAGGCACTTTATCTGAACAATACCTTCTATCTAAAGTACTCATACTTAACACTGCTCTATTTGAGCGCTGAGAAGACGGTAAAATTTTATTTTATTATACTTAGATTATGCGTTCATTTTTTCGCACCAAGAAAATATTCATAACTCCACGTCTAGAGGCGCTCGGCAGATAGTGGAAACAGATTTGGAATCAGCGTTTGATGCTCTTTATAGCCATATCAAATTCATTTGAAAAGGCCACTTCGACCGAAAACACCTCCCTTGTAAGTAGAGTAATCTTATTCCTTTCAAATAATCGTCGGATCGTGTTGATCCTTTTGTTGTATTAGAAGTTAGGGGCGTTTTGAAGGGCATTCTGTACCTCTCTTGAGGCGATATATCCAGCAAAGTGTTTTTCAGTAATAAGTGTTTGATGGCGAAAACCGCGACGTCAGCAAAACTCTACCGATCTTTTACCCATTTTCCTGCATCAAATATGTATGCTTGAATTATGGCTTCGTTATTTCTTACCTTGAGACATCACCTTTCCACCTTACTCATTTTGGAACTTTCGAAAAGGAGGTATAATAATTACCGAAATATTAAGTAGTAGCGGATTGGCTGTTCTTCCACTTCCTCCAGTAATCGAGGGGATACTTTTGAGAGTGGTCTACACGAGTTTTAGAAACGTACAGTTGAGTGTTTTCACTTTCAAATGACTACAATCATCCCTGGAAATGTTCAGATCAATTTAGCTTTGTTAAGATTTTGCAAGGTAACCAAAAATTTCGCAAAGAATTCAATTATCTTCCAAAAATTTCTGAAGCGGGTAGCCAACACCACTTCCCTTCACTTGAAAATTTGTGTTGCTTTTCGGAAAAAAATTCTTAGACGTAACTTTTTTTTTTACATATTAACGTGTACGTCGAATTGTACTACAATGGTAGGGTAAAGGTAGATAGAAAGAAAGAATAGGAGCATGCAGAAGAGAAAAGGATGTTAGAGAAGATGTGTAGAAATGGTTACTGACAGTTCGCATTCGTGACACCCTAGAGTTCGAAAATGCGTTTACTGACAGAAGACATTATTTCATTTCTTCAACCGTCTTGAATTTCTTTCGACTTATGTAAGCTGATAATGGCAATATATTGCATAGGTACGACACCGCCGAAGTCAAATTTTTTTGAATGTTCTCATTCCAAGCTTTTCGCTCTTTTGATTCCCATGTTTGTTCTAGACAGCTCGCATTGCTGCGCTTGAGAGCAATGACGTCGCGTTGACGTCTCTCCTCTGTAGATATCGAGTCGTAGTTGAGCTTGAACAACCCTACATTTGCCAACCCTCTTCAGCCAACACAGCCACGGAAACGTCGTCGATGACGTCGCTGCGGATGCTCGAAACGACAACAGATTTCTCAGAATCTTTCAAAACCAGTTGCGGTTGCTCAAAAAGTGCGCGCGTGGTGCCCCAATTGGGCAGTGATTGTAGCGATGATGATTGCATCCGACTTTCTACTTTCAAAGTGATCAGCGATCAAATTTGACATCGCCTTTGTGTCGTAACTGGAACGAGATGTGGACCAGTCTTTTTTGTTCCGGAGATGACGACGTTCCTTCTTTTGTCGCGACCTTTTGGAGCTAAAGCTGTAAGTGCATACACACATCAATTCTGATAGGTCGAGGTACTTTCTGCATTATATCGTCCTCGCTTAGTTTTGAATTCTATTCAGATTCACCACTCCTCTAATTGTAAGATTTATCTTGGTGTCGTATGGTTGTAAAACTGTTCTTAATTCAAAAATTAATCGTCTAATGGGCTAGATCAGAAATATGTTTGACCTTTTCCCATGCACCATTTTGAATGTTAGATGTCGAGTACAAGAAAAGATAAGTACCACTTTGTGATGGAAAATAATTCCATTTTTCTTTGTCGAGTGCTTCAAAGCTTTTAAGGCTATTTTCAACATTCGCTGCTTAAGCACTACAAGCAGATGCGTATTTTTATACTTTTGCTTTCTTCATGCGACGGAACGAATAACATTATGTGTTTTGAAGAGAAATCTTTGGCTCTTTTCAAACCATATATTAATTATACCGTGGTTACGAATAAACCAGGAAAGACGCTAAGGATTTCCATGACATCTCACACTCTCCAGAAGTTTGCTAGAAATTAGTTGAACAGACCCTATTATTAGGTATAGTATAATAGAAGGTGCACACTTTGTTGATCACCTGGTTATAGCTTTTATTGGTTTCAATAGTTTCATTCCTTGCCGAACCGCGGGTTGGGATAGGTGTACAACATTAATCTATAATGACATCAGTTACAGTTTAAAATGGCAGGAAATGGGCCAGCAAAAACGATGGACCAATGCAATTCGACGCCAACCTACCACTTTCGTTTAATTTTTGTTCTTATACCTAGCAGATTCGCCTCAAAAGGAGAGGCGCTGGGTAGAGCACAGACAAGGCTTTGATTTTTTGAAGCTTCTCCTGTTTCTACTGAACTAATCATTTCTGATACTAAGGTTCAAAGATAACAAAATCCCCAGTTACCTTAAAACATTGCGCTGATGGAAGGAGGAAAAAAGTCAAGTAAATTGTCTTTAACGGGTGGTAAGGGTATTTGGATAGAGCACTTCGCCGCGTGAACTCGTGCAGTGTGTTTGCCTCACTTTCAATTCGAAGTTCCGAACTGGGACAAATGAGTGGACACAGGTAGTGGACTCATTCATTGAGGGCCTAGTTTCTTTGATTAAAATAGTCATCGACAACACTGAGGCTTGCTGCAATCCATAGCCTCAACAATTTCTAGTCAGCTTGTATATATTCAAGTTTGGTCATAGTTCGTCTATTGGTCCATATTAATTGCATCTTACCACAGGCCCTTCTTCAATAAGTGTGGGCCATAGTTAATGCATTAAAATACTTAATCCCAACACTCCCGTCTTATCTGTTCTTTTCTTGTACGTGAAGCACATCTTAGATATTTAGACATAAATCTGAACCCATGTAAAAAAAATTTGGTTGACCCGCTTACTCCTTTGATTTATATCCGAAAAGAACAGTTCTGTGATGCGCTGTACCTTACTGGCGTCATTTTCGAGAAAAACCAAAACCCCAAATTTTTTTTTTGCAAATTCAGTGACTATGACCAGGCTAAAGCTGAACTTGCGCGTCATAGGCGGTGGCTGGTCGAACAGTAGGGGCGAAACAGCTGCTCGAGGGGCCACATGCTGGTAAAACGCACAAATGATGTCGAAACAAGACGAGGGCGCTCGAACTTCGTACTTGAGACAGTTGCTCTTCTCGAAAGCATGATAATCGGCTATAATCATGCGACAACAGCAAAATTTTCAGCACTTTTTGTAAGTGATTGACGGCGTTTGTCTAGTATGTGAAAAATTGAGCTAAAACTTGATGATGATAGGGATCGATAAGTAAAAAATCATAAATCAAATTTTTGGAATAAGTACAGACTTTTCAGTTGTTAGTGAAAGGGACCGTTGTCCAGAATCGGTTTACAAAACTAGTATAAAAGATTATCTTGAGCGAGATCCTGCGTTGTGTCCTGACGGAATTAAAGGTTGAGAATTTATGCACGGAAAGGCCCTATTACCCTGCAGTTAAACGCAGTTGCTCACAATTTTTCTTATAACGTAAGTTTGAAGAATACAATCTAGAAATTGTTGAAATCCGCTGTATACACAATATGCCAAGTCCAAAGTTTTGTAAAATAAAAGTGAAGAGGCATTCACGAAAGTGTTTCTCTAAGCAGTGGACTGAAAAATCTTGTTTCCATCTCAGAAGAAGTGCCTAAAAGTTTCGAGTTTTGATTGGCTAACAGCACTCTCCCATTTAATTCCTGAAACCAGACCTGTCCATTTGCCGTATGATTTTGGCACTATGAATAGTTGTCATTTCATGGAACATAAAAAAATGACAAGTGAATGTTGATCTGGACGTAATTCACTTTGTCCCTTTTCTGTCTACCTCAGCACCTTTCGAATCGTAAAGGTATGAAAAATGACGAAACAGCGGTAATGACCCATCCAGAAAAGAACTATAACGTTTTGTCAAATGTTGTTGTGATTAGGTTAGCCTTGAATTTCTATCCCATTTACAAGTTTTCGTAAATTTTCGCATTTTCTACCTTCAGTATGTTGGTGCCTAACATATGTAACAATTTTGGCACAACTTTCAATAATCAATGTGTAAAGCAAATGTATGACAACGAAATAATATTCGCCGTA